AGACAGAGACAGAGATAGATAGAGAGATAGTTAGCAATAGCACTTAGACTTATATACCGCTTCATAGTGCTTTTACAGCCCCCTCTAAGTGGTTTACAGAGCCAGCCTATTGCCCCTAACAATCTGGGTCCTCATTTTACCTACTTCGGAAGGATGGAAGGCTGAGTCAACCTTGAGCCAGTCAGGGTTGAACTGTGTGTGCTGGGCAGAGTTAGCTTGCAATAGCAATAGCACTTAGCTTTTAGCACTTCATAGTGCTTTATTTAACAATAGAACTTACATTTATATACTGCTTCATAGTGCTTTACATAGAAATAGCACTTAAGAGTTATATACTGCTTTACAGTGCTATACAGCCCTCTCTAAGCAATTTTATGGGGTCAGCCTGTTGCTCCCAACAACCTGGGTCCTCATTTTACCCACCTCAGAAGGATGGAAGGCTGAGGGTGAGATTTGAACTGCCAAATTGCAGTCAGTCAGCAGAAGTAGCCTGCAGTACTGCAGTCTAGCCACTGTGCCACTGTGGCTCATAATACTAAAAAAGATCTCTGCATTTAGATAGGGAATGTATTGGGTTTATGCCTTGTGCCTTCTAAGTATTAATCAGGTCTGCTCTGGCTTAGCTTCTAAATCCAAACAAGGTGACGATGTATTATTGCCAGTGGCTGGGAAGAAATCTCCTTATTATGGAAACAAATTATTGTAATTACGTTTATTCAGTTCTTTCAATTTAATGTGATGTAAATCAAAGACATTTCTCCTGATATTTTTTCCCCCTCCAGCATGCTAATATATTACCTGCAGAGTATTGCGAGGTCATTAAAATTCACCAATAACCAACTGAGGATGCAGATCCAAACAGTAAGTGCTGACTAAAGGCGCATGTGATGTTTTTGATATTGTTTTTAAATAAAAAGATAAAATTAGTTCTTAACAGAAAGAAGAATGAATCAACGGAGGGGTACAGATCACTTTTATACCTACAAATGTCATTTGATGTTTGAATGCAATGGGGTTTTTTTTTCCAACAGAAGTATTATATAAGGCTGAACTTTTAACGAATTAATTTGCTATCTGTTTTAGGAAAGAACTGAAGACAAGAAAAAAGTGGTCAAAATGGCTGCAGGTAAGCAGAAACGCCCATAAAGCACTTAACATTATTGGACTGTATACATTGTTCGGTTATCTTTTTCACAAAATGCAATAATAATTGAAAGCAAAAGCGGCCATATGAAACATATGGAGATCTATCCTAGCTATATTCGCTCTATACAGAAAGAACCAGAAGAAGATTGTGACAAATTTCAGACCAATGCATTCCTTAGAGAATCAGCTTTTGAAACTCTTAGGACTGAGTTACAATCAGAATTTATTTATTTATATTTATATTTATTTATTTATTTATTTGACTTATATACCGCTTCATAGGGCTTTCAGCCATCTCTAAGCGGTTTACAATTTTTTTTAGCAAATTGAGTCAGCAACAATCAGATTTTATTTATTTATTTATTTATTAGACTTATATACCGCTTCATAGGGCTTTCAGCCATCTCTAAG